AGTAAGGATCAATTCGACAAAAAAGTAAATGTGGGTTTTACGTGTTAAGAGTAATAAAGGTAGTTAAGTGTTGTTTGGTAATTAGGAATAGAGTTATGAGAATGAAAATACAAAAATTTGAATGAAAATTAAGAAATCGAAATGACATTTGTATTTCTATACCGTGTTTAGAAGACTAATGAGGAATCAAAATACAATTTAAATTTTTTAATACTGTTTTTTTATACAAATAAAAATAATGATTAAAAAATAATTTTATCAAACTATAATGGTTGTAAAAATAATAAAAGTGATGGTGATGATTATGGCTATGACGAGTGGCGGTTCTAGTAGTAGTGGTGGTAGTGGTGGCGGTAGTAGTAGTGATTATGGTGGTGGTGGCGGCAACGACGGTGGTGGTTGTGGTAAAAATAGTTAATAGACAATAAATAAATAAAATATATTATTATTTTGAAGAAAAAAATTCATTCTCATTTCTTATTTTTATTCACATATCTTATATGAGAATGAAGTTGTGTGTAAATTTTCATTCTCATTCTTAATCTTCATTCTCATTTCTACTTCATTCCTTGTAATCAAATAGCTATTATGTAAGAATAAAACTTTTATTTTCATTTTCATTAATGTATTTCGATTATCAAATAATACTTTAGAGTAAATAAAAAGATAATAAAGACAATAAAAGCTTTGGTTAAAGATTGATTTTTACTTTTTGTTCAATCCTTGATCATTTATTCACAATGATTTTTTCAAAAACTTCAATTTTTCTTTCAACCAAGAAAAGTTTTTAGTATTGCATAGTTTGTTTTGAAAAAGTATAGAATTCTAAACACACATAGCGGCCTAAATGTGTCACACGATTTGCTTGTTGTGACACACAATTTGTTCTTTGAATTTACACTGTTTGGAGTCTTGAATTGTTGGTGGCCCACGGATTGCTAGACCGAAGCACACGGCCATGCTATAATTGGTGTGGGACAAGCAAAGAAGGCCTTTTTCTTTTTTTTCTTTTTTCAACTTTTTGTGAGAATAAGAAGGTCTTACTCTCGTGTCGTAAAAAGCACGAAAATGTAATGAAAATGTCAGGTTTGCCTATGAGATTTACAGTTAAATAATTACAAATCAAAGTCTCCTTTTAAAGTCTTTGTTAAATAATATACATAGAGTGGCACATGCATTAATTTTGTTTTGGTCTATGATATTGAGAGGATGACACGTTGCGTATTCTCTTCGCGTTTCCAAGCAAGATTGAGAGCGATCTTTCTAAATGGGAAAGGGGACATTCACATCACGATGTTCATACTTTCATATCATGCAGTTCATACAGGTTTGATCAGTTTAGTCCCTCAAGTTCATAAGTTTTAGTTTAATTCCCTACTGTTGCATAAATCAGTATTTCTGTTTTTAGCTGTAGCATAACCTGGTAATTTGCTTTTTATTTTTGGTTTCGTTTTGTTTTCTAATCGTTATCATGCCTGAGATAGTGTTAATTTTATGTTGGGAAATAATATAGTTAAAAAAGGATGATTACGAAGAATTTAAGTTGATTTATTAAAAGTAATTTATTATGAAAGACAAATTTTATTATCATACCTACGATTCTTGTTAATTTTCTCACACTAGCCACTTGAATTGCATTAGTATTGCGATCTATATATTTGTTTTTTAATTTATAATCAAAGAGCAAGAAGTGCTCTAATTAGAAAAGAAACTCTTTGAAATAATAATATTACTAATAATATGATTAAGGAAATAAATTTAAAACACTAAGATAGATTATCAATAGATATTTCATGAATTTAGTTTGCAAAGAGAAATAAACATAAAAAAAAAAAAATAATCACATTTGTATTCACTCAAAATGATAAAAATACCTTATTTAGGTTCAAAAATAAATTTTAAAAAAACTTCTCTCATGTTTCTCTCTCTTCTATAAAATAATTATGCATAAATTCATCAACCAAATTGTTATTCTTGTCGCTTTTTAAAAAATTATCAATAGATTTATAATCACATTGGTATGTATTATATACTTATATAATAGTTATTAATAATTGATGAAGAATGTAAAAGAATGATATGTTATGAAATAATGAATGTCTATATGAATATTCATCTACTTTTCATATCTCTCGCTACTCATGATCCTTAATGTGATTCAATTCATCATTCAATATGAGAAATTAAAAGGGTGATGTAATTGATGTACTTTTAATTATTCATAATCCTTTTCGATTCTCATTTCAATTTTGAAACCTATAAATAGGATTGATTGTTCATTAGTTGATGTACAAATCTTTAGAAAGATTAAGAGAACAATTTAAAGTTTTTATCACTTGTATTCACTTTATAGTGAATTTTTTTCTTGTCATCCTTCCTTTTAAATTTTTCTATTATTTTTATTTTTCATAATATGATAAAAGTATTTGATTGATGAATTTACTAATAACCAATAATAATTAGTAGTTATTTTTCAATTACTATAAAATTTATGGTCATAAAGTACATTCTTTGTAAGAAAGGAGAAGGAGCGCAGAAGCAGCCAGTTGGACCTCACAAGTATTAATTTTCCACGCTCATAGTGGAAAGAATAGCCATTTATGGTTATTGCCTTATATTTCAATTTATTAAAAGCTTGAGGATTAAAATGAAACTTTGAGAAGCAGAAAGAGACAAAATTGGTCTACGGTCATTTTTTAATTTCTCCATTGCGTAGTCATCCTCTGGCAATTGAAAATGCAGCTGTTGATGGCTCTAGTCTAACTGCCAGCTCTTTTCACTATCAGTCATCATTTCCTTGGCATTCCTTCATTAGCTCCATATCATACTTATTCCTTTATAAGTATCAACCCTTGCAGTGGACAACTGAAGAACTTTTTGGTTTCACGCATGAAGGTTTTCACTTGCCCTCCTCCAGCCCCTCGTTCTTCTTTTATGTCGAACGTTTCTTCTGTAAGTTCGAGGGAGGCATGCATCTCTACACTCTCTACCATATCTGCCAAGATGACCTATGCAATTCTGATGTTCTTATTTGCTGAAGGTTAGTGCATATATCAGATATGTGCTTTTTTCTTGAGCTAGACATAGGCTTGTTTGGATCTAACCATCAGGTATTGCTTGTTCATGTGAATCTGTAATGATTAGTTCTGTGTCATTTTTGGTTTTATTTACTGGATTAAATGGTTCAAACCTCTTCCGAGTATTAATTTATTTATAAATCAATCTTTTAAATTTCTAATTTTTGGTCTAACATCTCTTAAACTTTATTTTGTTTTATATTTGATTCATCATTTAGTTTTCTGTAAAACAAAAAAAATAATGACATAAATATTGTCATAATAAAAATCATTCCATAAGATTTACATGAGCCTCTAAAATAAAATTTTAAATTATTTCGGATTATTTTCTATTTTTTCTTTATTTTTTATATCTTTAATGTTCAAAATATAAAGAAACATATTTACCGATCATGAAAAATTCTGGGCTAAAAATACTAAAATTTAATTTTTTAAAACGATAGGTGAATTCTGAAATTCATAATATGAACTAAATTTTTTTAAAAAAATCAAGTCAAAGCAAAAATTTGAAGATCATAAACCGATATCAAATAAACTAAAATTAAGGTAAAGTTTGGCTTATTTAGCCACATTTTTAGTTTTCAAATTTTTCAAAACAAAATAGAAAATTTGTTTATTTTGATTTTTTTTTTTAAATATAAAACCAAGAAACACTATCATAATTTTTTAAAAATCACTTTGTTTTTATCACTCAAATGGATTAAGTATGCAAACTGCTGCTAATTATAAAGGCATGTGAAATTGGACTAAATGAGGATATAAACAACTTCTCAGTTTAAATTCCAAATTAAAATATCAAATGCAGTCAATGGCTCACGATATATTTACAATAGTTATCCTGAGGCAATCATTCCTCACATGCCAATCATTCCTCGTGTGTGTATATATATATATAATAAAACAAAAAAAGTCAACTACAATTACCTGCAGCTTTTATCCTTCTAATTAGTTTCGGTAGAAGGATTAGTTAGGTCCACCAACGTTGAAGCTTGAAAGACAGTCGCTATGCAAGAAACATTTGAGTAATTTGGTTATCAGATTCTTAATTTAGGAATGAGATCCTGTTTACGTTGGCTCGTGGATTCAATTAATTCTGTGAAATTGGGATAATTGTATTACAGTTACACAAATTTTTCTTTTTTCCAATTGAGAATATAAATTTTAATTTTTTATTTGAATATATTAATTTTTTTTAAAAAAAACTGACAATCATATATTTTTATCTAACTTCTGTTGATTATTTTCATTATTTGATGATTCTTTCATCCCAGACTACTACATTATGATTTTGTCCTTTCTTTTTTTTTAAGATAACTTTTTATTTCAAATTATTTTTCTATTCTCTTCTTTTTGTATAGTAAATATCCAAATTGTCTTTATATCTAGCTAAAATGTAGAAAATAACAAAATAATTTACAATGAAAAATTATCTCTAATAATGAAAGAGCAAGATCATAATTTAACGGTATAGAAAAAAGATATGTCAACAAATAACATAACAATAGATAGATATTGAATAAAAAATACTTGATCGCTGTTTTGAAAAAAACTAATGTACTTTGATAAAAAGAAATTAAAATTTATATATTCGATTAAAAAAATTAAAAATTAATATACTAAAATGTACTTATAGTGTAATTATTCTAATTTTACAGTAATAATTGAATTGGTGGGCCAACATAAAAAGGATCTCATTCCCAAATGTCCTTAGACTATTTATTTGATGAGGGAAAACGCACTTCTAACATTAGAGAATCCTTATTAATCATCAATATGATAATTCACACATTTTAAAGGCAATAAACAAAATTTTTTTAATCATTAGAGATGTACTAATAATGCATCTTAAATGTTTTTTTTTCTTTCCTTGATTTTGTAAACTCAATTAAATGTAAGCTTTGTAGTGTAGCAGTTACATAGGCAATGTTTTCTTTCAATGAGCAAGGTTAGAGAAATCTTAGGGACTCGAGTGTTGTAATATAGCAAGCATCATTATCTTTGTTGTATAACTTAAAAGTCCATTGACCCTTCCTTTTTTTAATTAAAAAAAAAAAAAAAGCTAACTTTATCAATTAATAAAACTTCATATTGTTAAGTCATGAGAGCTAAGGTTTATCTCCTATGAATTATAAATGACTGCCTTTCCATGAGAACAAGCAATTAGCAATTTTGTTGATATAATATATTGCTCTCTAAAAAATTTGGGTAAAAATGGCGGGCAAGTACCTAAGTACTAACGGGTATCTGTGTATCATTTGATTCAGTGGGTGCAATATTGGGAGTCATGGTAGGAGCTTTGGCTGGCTTGCGAACGAAGAAGGGAATTCTCCATGGAGCCATAGCTGGAGCCGCTAGTGGGGTTATTTTATCCAAGGAAATCCTTAATTTATTACTTGCCATGTGGGATTCTGATAATACAGCAATGACATGCTTCTTTTCTTTGGTACGTAAGTCTTGAAATCAATAGGTACTTTGCTCATATAATTTATTCCGTCTGTTTGTAATCCTTTATTATCGTTATTACTTATTAATTAATCTTATAATAACGCATGTATTAAAGAATTATCTCACTTAAAAACTTAAATTGATAAATTAGATTTCAAAATATAATTTATATTAATCTCTAATAGCATGCATGCTCGTTGAAAAATTTTATATTACTCGAAAAACAATTAACGAGTGCTTATTTCATAAATAGACATAAAAAATTAAAAATAAATAAAATTTGAGCTTATTAATTTTAGTAAATTCAAATGTATTTTTAATTTTTTTAATCTATTTTTATTTTTGAAATAAATTTATGAAATATTTTTAGTTATTTATTGATATTTTAAAATTTATCATTGATGAACATTTATCTCCGCCAAAGCTTGACTCAATTTCACGTCTCATGAGCCGAAGGCCCCTTCCTCAACGATTCAATCCAACCAAAATAGTTGGAGAAGAGAAAGAGGTATGAATTTGCCTGTGGATAATCAATCTAGTTCTTATTAATTTCATCAAATTAACGATAATTAATGAGCTGGTAATTGTTGCACATGCAGGTTGGTGTTGTCCATGCAACCCACAAGGTGATATGATAGCTAGGTCCTCACGCACGTCACCGAAAGAAGAATCCGAAGACCATTATTTAGGAACACACAAATATGTAGTGGAGAACTTTCATTTTCTGGAATGTCTTGTTATGTTATTTTCAAGCTTTCGGATTTCCATTTTGTTTCGATGGAAAGACAAGCACTATCAGGTTCTTATTATCGCTTGTTTGATTTACGTTGTACTATTGAATAAGTGGCGTTTGACCACAGTCATGTACCTATGAGATTTACGGTTAAATAATTACAAATCACAGTCTTCTTCTAAAGTCTTTGTTAAATAATAGATAGAGAGAGTGGGAAATAATATGATTAAAAAAAAGATGATTACGAAGAATTTAAGTTAATTTATTAAAAGTAATTTATTGTGAAAAACAAATTTTATAATCATATCTATAATTCTGGTAAATTTGTTACACTAGCATACTCACGATTCTAGTTAATTTGTCATACTAGCCGCTTCAATTGTGTTAGTATCGCGTTCAATATATTTGTTTTCTAATTTATAATTAAAATGCAAAAGTGACAGCTCTCAAAAGAAAACTCTTTGAAACAATAATATTAGGAATAATACGACAAAAGAAAAAAAATTAGAATATTAAGTTAGATTTTCAATAATTATTTTATAAATATGATTTACAGAGAAAAGCAAACACAAAGATAAAAAATAAAAATTACATTCAGATTTACTAAGAATGATAAAAACATCTCTATTTAAGTTCAAAAATATTTTTTAAAAAAATTTATCCCATGTTTCTCTCTCTTCTATAAAATAAGCATGGTCATTTTTAGATTTACCAACTAAATTATTATTCCCATCATTTTTAAAATAAAATTATCAATATACCCTCTATTAATATTTTTTATATGTTTATATAATAGTTATTAGTAATTAATGAAAAATGTATTAATAATTTTCTGTAAAAAATAGTAAAAATAACAATCGATTGATAAAATTATCGGTACTCAATAATTATCAGTAGTTATCCAGTTGGACCTCACAAGTATTATTTTTCCACACTCATAAAGGAAAGAATAGCCATTTATGGTTATTGCTTAAAGTTTGAGAAGCATAAAGAGACAAAATGGGTCTACGGACTTTTTTTTATTTTTTCCTTCATGTCATCCTATATGCCTATGGCATTTAGCTGTTGAATGTTGATGGCTCTAATCTCACTACCAACTCTTTTTCTCTATCAATCATCATTTCATAGGCATTTCTTCATTAGCTCCTCATCATCCTTTATTCCTTATGAGTATCAACCCTTGCAGCGGACGGTTTGCTTTAGCCTTTAAACGAAAAACTGTAGAACTTTTTGGTTTCACACGTGAAGGTTTTCACTTGCCCTCCTCCTTCTCCTCCAGCCCCTCGTTCTTCGTTCATGCCGAACGTTGCTTCTGTAAGTTCGAGGGAGCCATGCATCTCTACACTCACACTACCATATCTGCCAAGTTGACCTATGCAATTCTGGTTTTCTTATTTGCTGAAGATTAGTGCATATATCATGTATGTGCTTTTTCTTGTTGAGCTAGACATAGACTTGTTTGGATCTAACCATCAGGTATTACTTGTTCATGTGAATCAGTAATGATTAGTTCTGTATCATTTTATGTTTTATTTACTGGATTAAATGGGTAAAACCTCTTCTGAATTTTAATTTATTTGAAAATCAATCTTTTAATTTCTAATTTTTTTGTTTAACATTCCTTAAACTTTATTTTGTTTTATTTTTAATTCATTCTTTAGTTTTCTATAAAAGAAAAAGGTCACATAAATGTTTTTATAATAGAAATCATTCGATAAGATTTATATGAAGCTCTTAAAAATAATTTAAGATTGTTCTAAATTGTTTTCTATTTTTTATTTTTAATATTCAAAATCTAAACAAACATATTTACCAATCTTGAAAAATTCTGAGCCTTTTTTAAAAAATTGATTGGATTTTTTTTCAATATGTGTATAAAACTTCAATTTAAAATATCAAAAATTAAATTTTTTAAAAGAGCGAGTGAATTCTAAAAGTCAAGGAAAGTAAAACAAAAAATTTGAAGAGCAGACAATGATTTTGAATAAATTAAAATTAAGGTAAAGCTTGGTCTATTTAGCCACATTTTTAGTTTTAAATTTTTTCAAAATATAATAGAAAATTAGTTTATTTTGATGTTTTTTTAATATAAAACCAAGAAACACTATCATAATTTTTGAAAATAACTTTTTTTTTATCACTCAAACGGATTAAGTACACAAACTGCTGCTAATTATAAAGGTAAGTAAAATTGGACTAAATGAGGATATAAACAACTTCTTAATTTAAATTCCAAATTAAAATATCAAATGCGGCCAATGGTTCACTATATATTTATAATAGATATTATCACCTAAATTTTTGCCCTCATTAGTTTTACTTCAATTTTTATTTTTATTGTAAAATACTAAAAAAAAAATGAAAATGAAAAAAAAAATGAAAAATGGAATGAGAAAGAGAGAGAGAGAGAGAAATGGTAAGCAAAACAAAATGACAAGCAAAAAGAAAAAAATCAATTGAAATAATTAGTTTAGATTAATTAAAAAAATAAAAGAGAGGGAGTGTTAATTGAAAAAATAGAAAGTTTGAAGATAATAAAAAGGAATAATTGAGAACTCGATTAAAAAATCAAAACTTACGTCATCTTAATTAAAATATATATAAAGAAAGCACAATTAAGATAAACTAAAAACAAAAAAAGTCTCAATTAATTCAAATTTAAGGTACTATCGAAATAAAAAAGCAAGATTAAACTCAAATGCAGAGCCAATGACCAAATTGGATTTTTGCAAAAAAAAATCCCTACCTATAAAATACCACTGCCATGCATTTTTTAGTACCTTCCACTGTTCATTATCCCTGAAAAAGAGCCAGCCGCCCCTCCCCACTCTACTGCAACCAAAACCTTCATCTTGCAAGCTTACCTACCCTCTCTCACCCAAAAACCACCATAGCCCCTCCATCTCCTCTTCCTCACCAAAATCTACTGTTCATCACCACCCTAAAAACCACTTAGCAGCCGACTACTGCACAAAAAAATAATTAAAAAAAAAAAAACCCCTCGAGAGAAGCTGCTCTTCTCTCTCGCCCCAAGCAACCCCCAAGCTCCCTATACTCCACACCCGCAACTTCCTCCAAGCTCCAGTAGGCTACCGTGCGCAGCAGCTCCAGCCCAAGCTCAGGCCACCCAACGCCTTGCCCGCGCACGAGCAGCAGAGAAAATTTGGAAATTCATGCCTAGTGTTTCATATTCACATCAGAGAGTACTCAAAGATGGTAGCAGTAGCACTTTATATCAAAAATTACAATGGAGCATTATTTCGCCAATACCCTGGACCATGATGCTCCAGAGTCTCTTTAATTGAAGTCCTAGACAATTTTGGAGAGTTAAAAATCAATTGGAGTTTGGGTTACACCTAAGGCGATTTGAGAATGTTCTTAGATGGTGCCGAGCGTTGGGTTCAACACTTTGGAATGTCTTTCCCATTCTTGAGTTGGGGCCATTGGCAAGTGAAATCCCAACTTACAGAGTCGTGCTGTTTTAATGGCAGTTTTTGCAGTTATACCCACACTGGCATTCAATGTGTCTAATGTCTACAAGGTTGTTCAAGCCAGAGAAGGCAGCATGTTACTGGCTTTGGCAATGCTTTACCCTTTTGTTGTGCTCGTTGGTGGAGTCCTAGCATGGGATTATCTGTCTCACTTGTGTGATGAACCAAAGGGATTGAAAACTACCATGCACGATGTTAGTTGCTAATTCCCTTTAAGTTTTCAGGAAACTTTGCAAATTTACAAGGATTTTATCAATTTACAGTGACTTTGGATAGCAGCAGCAACTATCGCCGTTTGCACCGACTTTGGAGAAATTTGCGTGAGGAATTTATTGATTTTATTACTATCATTATTAACTTAAAAAATATGTATACAATTCGCGTGCTGACTGTCCCCGTGATCATGCGATCATTTACAACAGTTACAGCACGAGGAATTTATTGATTTTATTACTATCATTATTGATCATGCAAACTTATGGGCTTATTTTTAAGCATGTTAATTATATACAACGGTATTTCTATTTTAAATTCACTTCATAATCGTGGGTTCCCTTTCTCATCATGGCTGCAAAGTCCTCATAGTGGATGTTTCCATCCTGCACAACATGTCCCAATCAGTTGCAGGAAAGCACCACCACATGATAATAGAGAGATCAAAAAGGGCGGAAAAAAGGAAAAAGGAAAGGATAATTACTTTATCAGTATCAACATCTTCTATGACTTCATCTATTGCAGCGTCATCACCCATCCCATATTGAGCCATGGCTTGTCTTAGCTCCTCTCTAGTGATAAACCTATGAAAGTGAACTAGTCAAGTTAGTAATGTTACTGACTTTTGCTCAGGAGTAAGGAACATACTGTCTGAAATTCACAGGGAGTTTTTATTCCCCAGATCATTTATCTCAGGAGAACTTACCGATCACCATTACAGGAAAAAAAACTTAAAACCAAAGACGTAGGGTCGCGGCAACTAACCCGCGGTTAGCCTTGTCAAAGTATTGGAAGGCCTTGTACAAGTTTTCTTCCTTGTCAAGTCTATGCCGATGCATGGTAGCCGTAATGAATTCGACATAGTCGAGAGTACCACTCTTGTCAACATCAGCCTAACAAAAGGAATTGTTGTGGTCAATGCTTGTTCTTGCAGACTCGAGAAAGAATCTTGCTGCAAGGGTTGTTACTTGAAGAAATAGATGGGCTTTCAAATAAAGAAACTAGCAAATGCAATGATAAAAGCAGCGCATATATATATATATATATATATAGATATATATAGTTTGATCGATTCTTCTTACAGCATCCATCAGCTGCTTTATTTCTACTTCAGTAAGCTTAGATCCTAGCCTCCACAGTCCAGATTTTAGTTCATCGTATGTGATAGTACCACTTCTGTCGGTGTCCATGTTGCTGAACATCTGCTTTGAGCCCTTGATTTCTTCCTCTGAAAGGTTCTCTGCAATAACCTTCACGCAATTTAACTCCAGATCAGAAAAGCAGCAATGAGAATATGAAAGGAATAGAAAACAAGCGAAAGTAATCGTTCTTGCAGATGACTCCAAATCTAAACAGTGACATCATTCTAACGGTGAAAATTATTCTTCCACATGCTATAACATTGAAAGTGAGTGATTTAAACACAAGGGAGATTTAAAATGAGAACAATTATGTGGCTGCGGTCAGTCAGAAACTGGAGGTGTTAAAGCATACCTTTAGTGCAAGCTTCTTTAACTTGTTCATCGCTCTGAACTGCTTCATCCGAATCAGAACGGCACTGTCAACAGGTTTGCCAGATGCTCCACCATCCACCTTCATCCATGGATGTTCTGATTCAAGTACATTGTGTGAACAATATCAGTAAGACACATAATTTTATGAAATTTATAGTTCGATAATAAAGAAAATCGGCCCAGCAAACACAATAAGTTGTAAGATTAATTAAGTGAAGAAAGGATATTCGAGATCCGAGTCAACTGCCTCAAAAAAGGCACCTAATATTTAAAATGAGACTAAGGATTTCTCAATCAAATCATGGATAATTATATACTTACCAAGTGCTTGTGCAGCAGTAATCCGTCTCTTGGGGTCCGTTTCTTATCATTTTCTTGATAAGGTCTTTTGCAGAAGATGAAATATTAGGCCATGGGTCGCTGTGCAAGTCAAGATTGCCTTCTAATATTGCGTCAAATATGCCTTTCTCAGTCTCTATTACAAAATGTGTTCATCCACACGTCAGTTAGAAAAACATTACACTTCAAAAATACCTCAAGGCATAAAAATCCTCGTTTAAAAATGAGTGAAGGATAGGGCTCCTGCTCTGTAGCTCAACTATTGGAGGAAAAAGGAACATACCAGCCCAGAAAGGAGGCATCCCACTTAGAAGAATGTACAAAATGATCCCAGCACTCCATACATCAACCTCTTTTCCATAACTCCGTCTTAACAGCTCCGGAGCAAAATAGTATGGAGTTCCGACAATGTCCTTGTACACTTTTCCTGGAGAATTAGTTCAGAAAAGTTCAGTAATGGAAGAAAATGATGACGATAATCTCTTACTATGACAACGTTATATTCAAGGAAATAAAACTTGTTGAGTGATAAAATGTGAAATATGTGTGGCAGAACAGAATATTACATGTTTTCAGTTTCATCATTTTCTTGCAAGAAACAACAATATTTGCAGGGTAGCAGAGCAAATTGGTACAAATGAGATCATTTTAACTTATGTCTCCAAATTGCACATCTTTGGTTATCCAAAATAAAGCAACTTATCTTATCATAAATCCAATCAAAAGGCACCAACCAGCTAGCTTTTAGAAAAGCTAAACATACTTTAATTGAAATGTCAGTGTTTAACTAGCAGCTGCATTATTATTTGACGGTACCATCAATTGATTTGTGGACAACTTGGCAGCATGTTTCCCATGAAAAGTTTGAGGCTCCGGCCTCTGGGCCTCTTCTCTGGTGGGACTTAGTGATGCCTGAGTGTGATCACTACAACGTGTCTATAGGATGTCTAACGGTACAACGGATCCAATCTTAGTGAAGTCAGCATGTGATAAACCCTCACTGTGTTCTTTATTTCTTATTTTTTCCTATCTTTCCTTTTACTAAAAGAAAACACGTTGACTCGGTTGACTTGTAAAGTCCCTTTCTTCATTGACTTGGCCCTATCAATCCATAATGGCATCAAGAAAGAAGTAATTGACCCACTAATCTTAATATTTGATTCACATTTCACATCAAATTTTGAATTTTATTGAAAAATACAAAAATTATAACATGATAAGTTGGATCAAGCCTATACTAAGTATAAACCAATGAATGAAAGTTACTGTAAAAAGCTGTCATATTCTTCGAATTGCTAAACACGGTACTAGGAGATTAAGATCCTAAATTTATTCTTCCGGATGGGTATAGAACATGCATAAATACTTTGTTGCGAATTGGCAAAATACATCTGTGTTAAAATCAAACCACACAATTTGCAGAATCGTATCAACTTTGAAAAAGAAAAAGGCAAGCTGGAAATCACAAATTAAAAAAAAAAAAAAAAAAAATCACTAACCTTCTTCAATGAAGACAGAGAGTCCAAAATCAGTAGCTTTGATTGGAGCGTTCTCCTCTTTGCTTGCAAACAAGAAATTCTCAGGCTTCAAATCTCTATGAATAACTCCCATAAAATGACACACATGAACCACATTCACAATCTGCCGAATAATTGTCGCAGCTTCCTTCTCCGAGTAAGTCCCTTTCGCTATAATCCGATCAAAAAGCTCCCCACCAGAGCATAACTCCATGACCAAATGAAGATTCTGTTTATCCTCATAAGCACCCCTGAATTCAACAATATTGGGTTGCCCTGTTAAGTGCTGTAGTATACGCAATCTCCCTTCTAACATCCTCAATATCCTTTGCACTCACAAGTTTACGGCTTGATATAGACTTGCACGCATACTTTCTTCCTGTAGCTTTCTCTGTACAAAGATAAGTTATACCAAACTGGCCCCTCCCCAATTCTTTATCAAGATCGTAAATTGTGGTTATGTCAATGTATGGTTTACCAAGAATGGGACCAATATTTGAGGATGAAGTAACGGTAGTTCGAGATTTCTCAAATGTTTTCGAAGTCAGAGCTGGTTTTGAGGTGGCTGCTGATACTGCTGCTGGCGGTGGCGGCGGCGGCGGCGGGGGTGGATTATAACGTGCTTGGGTTGGTCTTTTAGGTGGTGCTGGTTGGTAGTAGTCCTCGTCCGAAGAAGAGGAAATAGGGATATCATGAGAACGAGACCGAGAGAAACAGTGTCCCATTGGGTTGGTGGGCAGTAACTGATCAAGAGAGAGTAAATTGTTTTCAGGTATTTTTTGAGGACGGTGAGGTTTTGGTTTATTACAAGAACATGTAAGTTCTGTAAGATATATGGAACTTTTTGTAGTTCTGGTTAGGAAATTCTGTTGCTTACTTTTTTTGGATGCTTTGCTTTTGCCCTCTGGATAGTCTTGGGTATCATTCCTCTCTCTCTAACTTTCAAGCTGAAATACGCATTTGCTTTGCCTTGTTGAGTTGAAAAACGAAAGAGAGATGACGAGACTTTCTTCGTGTTTCAA